AGGGCAGAGGGAGAAGCAGACCCCCTGCCGAGCAGGGAGCCTGATGTGGGACTCGATCTCGGGACTCCAGGATCATGACCTGAGCCGAAGGCAGTCGCTTAACCAACTGAGCCACCCAGGCGCCCGACTTGCGCTGATCTTAATAAGGAAGGAAGGGCCATGAGATGAGGGAAAACAAGAGGGAGGGAGGGAGCTGGGATCTTCAGAGGGTATGTGTCAAAGTGCTGTGTCAACTTTAAAGCATTCCATACCTCTTTCTCCCTGTGTGATGAAAAAGACTAAGTTTTATTAATTTTTCAAAATCCCAGTGCCTCTCACAATAATGCATATAATTAGCACTTAAAAGTGTTTTGTGACTCTGAGATGAATAGAAAATAACCTTATGTCCATTGTTTTATTTAATATTCAGAACAACCTGTTCAGGTAAATGCTATGATTATCCCCATTTTAGCAATGAGATAACTGATGCTCTGGAAGAAATTTCTGAGACACTGTTGTGGAGTATAGGGTACCAAGTTAAGTAAGAAAACATAAAATATATATAGGAGGGTAATAGAGGCTCCAACTGAAGGTGGACTATGTGAGTCCAAGATGAAACTCAGCACGATTGCTGTGTTTGCCCCAGCAGTGCTCTGCAGCCCCGAAACAGCAGGTGGAGTTGACCTCAGTCTTAGAATCCATGTGGACATCATTCCTTCTGTGTTTCCTTGGACCTCATGGCTGTGAGTCATCTGATAAAGAGGGGACAAGTTAATGAAAGGAGATAGAAACAACTAAAACGTGTTCTTCAGCCTAGAGGAGACAAGTAATTATCATTGGCTCTTGAGACGTTGAGATACTTCAAAGCTTCATCTAGGTGTGTTTCACCCCACCCTCTTCAGCAAAACTGCTTGGCTCCTGGCCTATACGATCTTAACTTCATTCAGGAAATACTGGTTAAGAAGATTCAGGAAGAGCCACTGGGAGGCTGGTGAACTTGACAACCTAGGCAGCCTGTGTTTTTGTGCAGCTCAATTGTTTGCTGACTAATAGGTGTAGGGGGTAGAGGAGGAGAGAGGAATTCTCACCAAACAAAGAACTGGGCCGTTTGGGTGGAGTTGCTTGGGTCATTCATCAAAAACCATCATATAGTCCATCTCTCATAGAACCAGGGCAGGGCAAAGACACGAGCTGTGAAGGTAAAGGCTGCTCCCTTTGACCAAAAGCCAAGGCTGTTTAGAAAAAGGTAGGGTTTCTATGATCTTTTCTATACAGGGGAAGGGGAAACAGGTGAGTAGGTACTTAAATGGTTGGGGCATGAAATAATAGATACCTTTTATTTTAATTACCTGGGACAAGGAAGAATGTGGTATTATACCAGCTCAGCACTTACAGTTTTTGCATCCAGTCTACAAAAACAGCTTGTTCAAATTGTGCTGTTATGACTTGTGTCGGGATCTGGACAACGGAACATTCTGAAAAGAAAGCAGAGCAGGTGGTGAGAAGGATCAATATGGTGTTACCTAGGGAGCAGGTAGAAGAGGTCTTGCGTTTGCCTGGGCAAGGGAGACTCTGGCTTGCTCTCAGCTTGCTCTCTGCATACTGACTCTGCCGGTGACACTTTGAAAAATCCCTCTCCCTAGTCACACCCAAAGAGATACCGAATTATTGATTTGGAAGGCAATTTGGACATCAGAAGTCTTAAAAGCTCTGCAGGTGATACTAATGCACAGTCAAGCTGAGACCCCCTGTTTGGGGGGCAGCAGGTCTCAGGGTGAAATGAGAAGAGGTCTCGAAGGGGAAAGGCTGTTGGTGTACTCGTGAGTGCCAAACAGAGACCTAGTACCAGTGGCAGGAAGGGATAAGGAGGCGGTTGGGCTAAAAGGAAAGGAGAATGAAGGCTTTGAGCTGTCCTGAAGGTGGACGTGGCTTGGCGGTAAGGGAGCTTTGATGACTGGAGGTGATAAAGGAGAAGTCCACCCAGGGACTGGGAATGGTGAACAAGGCCAGCGATGAGCCAGCTGTACCTGGGCAACCAGCAGCCTGTCAAGCCCCTCACCCCTCACTCAGAGCAGCTCTGCTTTCCCTCTTTTTCTATATTGGGCTTCCCCATAAGATTTCCTTTGAAAGAGAGCTGCTCAAAAGAAAAAAAAAGGTTTTAAAACCACTTAACTAGTTGACCTTTATGGCTATTACAACTCTGAAATTCTATAGTATGAAATCCTGTTTGATGTTTCTAAGAAATCAGGCTACTGATTGATGCATTCTTCCGAAGTCTGGGGAGGAAGGAAGGGGAGCATGAGAAGCATGGAAAGTGTGAGTAGAAGAGGAAGGGCTTCTCTTAGCTAGGGGCCAGATGCAGGAGCCCTCACCTGTCCAGGCTGAGAATTACCTGGGAGCTTTTTAATAAAATCCCCTCCCAAACCAATTACATCGGAGTCTCTGGGGATGGTGTCTGGTGATAGGTATGTCTACAGTGGAGCCAGGTTGACAGCCACTGGTTAATGGGTGACAATGTTCTGTGTATACGAGTACGCATTAGACAAACTCCCACACTTGAGGTGCATCAGAATCACCTGGAAGATTTGTTAAAACACAGACCGCTGAGCCCCACCCCCAGATTTTCTGATTCAGTGGGTCTGTGACCCTCAGGCCCCAAATTTGCATTTTTAACAAGTTCCAGGTGATGCTGATACTGCTGACCTGGGGCCACACTTTGAGAACCATTGCTCTAAGAAAAGGTATTTACTTTATTTTTATTTTTTTATTTTTTTTAAGCAAAAAGTATTTACTTTAGACATTAAAAAGAACCTGCTGACAGCGATAAGTCAATTCACAGTATGCACCCTTGATACAAAACAACAGTACTTTCCCTCTGTGGTCCTCCTTGCCCGAGTACATTAGCCTAGTCTGATCAAGAGAGAAACATCAGACAAATGCCAATTGAGGGACATCCTACAACATATCTGACCAGTAACCCTCCAAACTGTCAAGGTCATCAAAAAGAAGGAAAGTCTGAGAAAGTGTCACAGCCCAGAGAAACGTAAGTAGACATGGCTCCTAAATGTAATGTGGTATCTCAGATGGGATTTGGGGACGGAAAAAAAGACATTGGGGAGCAACTGAGAAAGGAATGTATCAATATGGGTTCATTGGTTGTGGCAAATGTAGCATACTTAGGTAATATGATAACAAGTGGGGAAACAGGTTGTGGTGTAGATGGGAATTCTCTATAATATTACTGTGCTAATTACAACAGTTCTGTAAATCTAAAACTGCTCTAAGATAAACAGAGTTTATTAAAGCAGGGCAGGGAGGGGAGGGGCTTCCTGGCTGTTATAATGCAAACTATTCCTGATGGCATTTGTAGAGTTGTTTCCTTTGAGAGCACCAAGGAAAAATAATCAAATAATTGTATTTTCAGTTTGAATGAATCCTTGTTCTGAATAAATTACATAAAATATCTTTAATTCCTTTTATTTGTAGTTGTGTGACTTTAAAATGATTCTTAGAGCTGTACTTTAAATATATATGTATATACATATATAATACACACACATCTCAGCACATTTACAGCTAAAAGACAAGGCAGCTGACTCCTCTTCACTATACTGCAGTCATGCAGTGGGACTACAATCCTAGATAAGAAAGGCACCTGTTGCAATGATTTAAAATCTCAGTAGAAATTTTCAGCTTTTTGGATATAGCTATCTGGAAACCGTTTCAATGATTCTCTCTCCCTCTTCCTCTTTTTGGCTGTCCTTAGAGAATCTGCTCAAGGTGGTCTGGATAAAGCAGAATCCTCCAGGCAATATTTTGTGGCTGGTTTGTAGTTACGGATTACCTTTGTCACTGGCTTCAAGAGTGAACCTTATTGAAATTCCCATCTATTCATTTAAGTTTTAAGGTGTCCTTGGAACACTGTGGGCTCACAGTGTGTGTGTGTGTGTGTGTGTGTGTGTGCCCGGGGGAATAACCCAACCACTCTCTGGTTATGTGTGTATATTAATTATCCAGTATTGATTTTATTCCTCCAACTTGACTTTAGGTCCTCTCAGCCTTTATTATTGGTTGTTCATAGTCCCTGTCATAGTACCTGGCAAGGTTCAAAATAGTAAGTAGCAATCGAACCTGGAAAGGAGATAATAATCCAAGGCCAAACTAAATGCCCCATGTGCAGTTACAGTGGTTTGGACCTAGCAGACACCATTTATCTTTTAGTGCCAAGTCTGAACCATTTAGCTTTCCTTTTTTTTTTTTTTTAAGATTTATTTATTTATTTTAGAGAGAAAGGCATGTGTGCAAATGGGGGGGGAGGGGCAGAGGGAGAGAGAAATAGAGAATCTCAAGCAGACTCCTTGTGATCTCACAATCCTGAGACCATGACTTGAGCCAAAATCAAGAGCCTGATGCTCAACCAGATGAGCCACCCAGCACCCCACACTTATCTTTTCGTATCAAGTGGCTTAACTATACATTTGTAGACGTTAAATGAGGAAATCAGAAGCACTCTTAGAGATTGGCGGTGGTCTAAATACCTGCTTTAAGGTGAGAGCTCAGATACCTGATTCATCTTCCAACCAGGCAGGGACTCCTAGGGGATAAGACTGCAAAGTTAAATGTGAAGCTCAAAATTTGAGGCAAAAGATTCTCATCTCCTGGATTTTCCTCTTCCTATACTGAGCAGCAATACTGGAAATAGTGATAGCTAAAATGTAGAGAGCTTTTCTGGGGGTACAAGGCACCATTCTAATGAGCTCATTTCATCCTCACAAAGACACAGAGAAGGTAAGCAAGTTGCAAGCACTCACACAGCTTTGGAGTAAAGCCAGGATCCCAATTTTGGTTGTTTGGCTTCAAAGCCCATGCTCTAAAAACAATTGGCTCTCCTACCTCTCTTGGAGAGGACACCAGAAGTCCCACTCTTGACTAGCCTGGCTAGAGGTCTCTTCCAGGGTCTAGACTGGAACTGCCCAGGGACCTCCACACTGCGTAAGGCCTAGAAAGAGAATGTCCCATCACCTCTACCCATCCTGCTTCTTACACGACCACCACCCCCATCACCACCAGCAACTGGTAAATACTGATGGAGTTTCTGTTCTGTGCTAGGTACTATGGATATAAAAATGAAAAGGAGACTGTAATTCTGCCCTTAGGAACTATGGAGGAGATAGACATCTGAGCAAACAAGCTGACAAAGTCCCAAACAGCCTCTGGTAAAGGGCCAAAAGAAAGAGCTATGGGAGCCCAGAGGGGCAGGGACCCACCTTGCCTTGATTCACAGCGCCATGACTCCCTTCCTCTCTCAGTTAGTTTTCCCTCTGTTACTTCCTTGATTTCTTCTATTTACAACTCACAAGCCTAAATGGCAGAGATCTGAAGTTCTCTCCATAAGGTGTTGGGCTGTTCAGAAGGAAGATGTTCTGTCCATCTGATAAATAACTTACAGAGGAATAGAGGCTCCAACTCAGCATATGCTTATCTGCTTTCTTCCCCCCAAGAAATAGAGAACATTTCTATCTAAGTTCCTCCTATCCGAGGTTTGCTTTCCAGGATTTCCGTGACCCCAGTCAACTGTGGTCTGGAAGCAGATGATCCTCCTTCTGACGTATGGTAGCCTAATGCTACGTTACAATTCCTAGAAAAAAAAAAAAATTTATTTACATACATTACATTCACCTCATTTTGTCTGGTCATGTAGGCATTTTATCATTTCACATCAAGTGAAGAAGAAAGGTGAGGACAGTACAATATTTCGAGAGACAGAGAGACAACATTCACATAACTTTTATTACAAAACATTGTTATAATTACCCTATTTTATTGTTGGTTTTTGTTGTTAATCTCTTCCTGTGCCTAATTTGTAAATTAAACCCTATTGGAGGTATATGTTTAGAGGGAAAAACATAGTAGATGGAGGGCTCAGTACTGTCCATGATTTCAGACATCCGCTGGGGGTCTTGGAACATAATCCCCACAGACGAGGGGAATGGCTGTAGTCTGTTCCTTCTTCCAGGGCAGGAATCTTCTGTTCCACATGCAACTTATGCTGGCAGCCTTGCCCTCTCTTTGTATCCCTGTCTACCACAAAAACAAACAGTGTTGCTGAGGCGTTGTTGTTGTTACCTTTAAAAAACACCCTCTCGTCATGGGATAAGCCTCTTCCTGACGATGGATCATCGTTATCTGGCCTGACGAGCGGCCCTGTTGCCATGGAGAGCCGATGGGGTCAGGTGTGTTTTTCGCCTGCATCACTCCCACCCGGGGAGACGAGCGCTCTTCTGTACGTCATGCGTGGCTGGTCTGTGGCAGCCTGCGGCCAGGCTTTTCCTGCGGGTCAAACCTAATCAACTCATCAGCTGCAGATAATATCAAGACCTCTGTTTGATATGTTAATAGTGACAGACAGGCTTCCACAGTTAATAGCACAGAGCCCCTTTGACAGCAAAGTTGTTGTGGGTGCAGAAAACACTCTAGTCACCAGGTATGGGATGAGAGGGCTTGTGTTCACATAAACACAACATCACGTCACTACCTGTCACCGCAAACTGTTTTGTTCTCGAAGACAGTCTGTGCTCACCCTCTCATCTTGATTTCCTACATAACAACATTCTCGGTTTATATGCCCTTTGGCAAGTGCAGCAAACACTGTTTCCTGTTTCTAAACTTGTAGACAACCATTCATATATCTCGCAGTTGTCAGTTTTAACCAGACAACAGCGGCCCCTTCTTGCTGCTCTTTTATCGTTAGCTTAGGTTTAAGAGGACTCTAGAAGTAAAGCTGTTGATTTTATTTGCTAGAATCTTCTTCATTAATTTAACTAAATTTCCATAAGACTTGTAATTTTCAAAAGGTAGTGAGGAGAAATACATGCCCCCATTGGTAAGGCCTAAAACAACAAGTGATAACAAGACTAACGATTTGAAAGTGTTAAAGCAATACATGCTTAAGTGTTTCTTCTCTGTTTGTCAAGGGTGAAGGCAAGAAGGAATCATCAATGTAATTTTAACTGGCAGACAACCAGCCAAACGAGAGAACTCTAAGTACAGCAAGTAGGTCAGGGGTCAGAATCGGAAAGGCCTGTGCACACTTTGTGGGTCAAAAACATTTTAGCACTTCTCACAACCTGTGTACACTCTTGCAGTTAAGTTGATTGACTTCATTCACTGATGAATGTTCCTGATGTCATGCTACTAGGTGCTAGATACCAAGCTAGGCTTTTTCTCTTCAGATGCTAATATTCTGAAACCATTGCAATGTATAAGAAGCATTGATAAGAGTAAAATATGCTTATCCAACAATTGAAAAATGCGCTAAAGCAGAGGAAAAACTGTCACTCAGGGGTAACCACCATTAACAGGGTGGAGCGTGTTCTTGCTTTTTGTTAACTATGCTTGTGTGTGTCTTTTAAGCAAGGCTGCCAGTATACCATTTAGACGGTTGCTCATTTACTTTTTCTTTGCTTAGTTTTTGTTTTTACAAACTCTTCATAAATAAACATATTACTGGTTATATAATGTTTATCTTCTTTGTGACAAATATTCTCTTTTTTTCCATGAACATGCTGCAGAGGTCACAGATTTCTTCATTTCTAAGTCAAAAGTTTGTCTTGACCACGCTAAGTTTCTTTGGAAAAGTTAACCTCACTTGTGTTTTGGGATGGCTCTGCAATTCTCTTGGAGATATAAATACACACACACACACACACACACACACACATCCTGGAGTCTGACACTGACTAAAACTAGAGACCTGGGCTCTTCTGGTCTTCAGTCAGACTTGACCGCCATGCCCCATGCTCCCCGCCATGCCCCATGCTCCCCGCCATGCCCTTGTGGTACATTCAGAAGTGTGTGTGGGGGGGATATCCTCCTGATGAGAGAGGCTTTCATGTCTTTGCTGGTGAATTCAAGACATGGTACCTAATATTTAACTTCCCTTAGCACCTTCACAGCCATTCTTCCATCTGGGAAGACTGGCTTTCTCCCCAGTGCAGGGCGGGAGGAGGAGTGGAGATGGGGGAGGGCAGGGACACTGGACACTTCCTAACATCTCCCCTCTCCCAGAAAGGCAACTCCAATTTGGTGCCTCCTAGGTCCTTATCTTCCAAATAGAGGCTTGGACTCTCTTCGGTGCCACTCACAAATACAAAGAGCCTCTTACCTGAGTTGGGAAGGGTTGGAATTGCCTAAGCAGGGCTAGAAAGCAAAGCCTGGGTCTGTAGGCTTCCATGTCCTTGAGTAAGTAAAGAAAGCAAAATGACCTTTTTTATTCTTTTGAGTATCCTCAGATGATAGAACAAAATAGAAACTATTCTAATTGCTTGTATTTTCATGTAATGGATGTGGCCTAATTTGTCAAATCATTGCCCTCAGGACAAAATCTGAACTTCTGACATGATATACATGCCTGTCCCCATTTGGCTCTATCTCAACTTGCACCCCTGCTCCATCCCTGCTGAACTTACAGGTTCTCCAGCCAATATTTATCTCCAGGTCTTTGCATGTACTGCTCCCTTTTGCTGGAACACTCTTCCCTACTGATTAACTTTTTCACATTTTAGTTTAAATGTCACTTCCTTTGATTAGGTTCCCTCTGCCATGAGCTTCTGTAGCAAATGACATAATTACTTCATTAACTGCTTATCTTCTCCCGAACTGTAGGTTCTACCAGGATAAGGACCATGTGTGTATTGTATTTGGCTTCTGTTTGAGCTCAGTGTTTGACACATTTTAGATACTCAATGAAATACTGAAATGATTAGTGGACATCTAGGATGCATCCGGTTTTTCTTTTATAAGCAATGCTGAAATGAGCAATTTTTATACATGATTATTTGTCCATGATTTGGAACTTTTAAATTACTTTCTGATGATAAATTCTTGGAAATAGGATTAGTAGGTCAAAGGATATAAACATCTTTGAGGCCCCTTGAGAAACAACAGATTGCTTTCCAGAAAGTTTTACACTCCTACCAGCAGTGAATGAGATTTCCTGTTTCATTGTATTCTCATCAGCACTATTAGAAAAAGAAATTATTTTTGCTAACTTGATAATAGGAAAGCTTCCCTTCCGCTTGTTTCAATTTTGCTGTGGTTAAGTAGTAAGATGGATGGTTTTCATTTATTTTATATTTGCTCTATGATAAATTATCAGGTGTCTCTTGTCCATTCTCATTCTGAAATTTTCATGTTTTTTTAATCAATTTTTATAAGCTCTCTATGTTTTAAAGATGTTAGATTATTATCATTATATTCATTGTAGATCTACCTCTCTATTTAGATGTTTATATTTCTATCTCATGTCCTTAAGTTCAATGTCTTTATGCGGTCAGGTCTCTCATCATTTCCCTTGGGATTTCTTTGTGACTTACACTTAGGGTGCCTGTCACCATCAGTGAACAAATAAATATTCAGCTATTTTTTTCTTGGTCTGTATACAGTTAGATGCCTTTGCCTGTGTGTGTGTGTGTGTGTGTGTGTACTTGTGTGTGTGCATTTCTGTGCATGTATTTTGGGGTCTCAGTCATTGAGAATTTAATGGGAGGGGGGGGATGGATCTTCTTTTGCCAAAAGGACTGACCAAGTGTCTCGGCAACCTTTTCTCTCCTAATGATTTAAGGTGTCTCTTTTCACTCATTTAAAAACAATTTTATTTAGGTTTATTATATCTTCCTGGAGGGGCCAGTTCTGTTTTCATCATTCGAGGTTTTAGGGAGAGACTTTGAGTGGGTAAGGTAGTCTTCTTCTGCATTTGTTCTCTTCTGGCTCTGCTGTTCTCTCTGATCTGCCTACTGGATGCAGACTCACTGAGGCTAAACTCCAAGGCATCAAGGAAAGTTGGAACTCAAGATCTGAAACTGGTCAAAGCACAGTGCATTTGCATGAAAATCTACCAGGCTAATCTAGTCTTATTAATAAATGTCTTTCTGACATCATCAGAGCATAGCTTTAGTTTGTCTGCCACTAGATCTAAAAACACACAGCTGATGAACAGATGCCCACTAAGAAGTAAGTGCTATGACAAGGACAGAATATCTGCCACCAGTCCTAGTATTCAAGAGACCCGAGTCTCTATGGTGATGGTGTCTTCCTTTACAGAACATTGCACAGTTGTACAAAGGGGGGAATGCCAGTCTTAACTAAGACAAGAGTCGACAAAATGTTTCCTTTACAGGAAGCCACTAGCCACACACTTAGATAGGTGGGTGGGAGTAGACATCTCTATACTAAGTTAATTTGCTCTTTCTCTTTCATTCTTTCTTCCTTACTTTTTTTGCTCCCTACCTTCCTTGCTTGTTGCCTTTCGACTTAGTTATAGAATATCATAGTTCTTACCAGTTGGTCCCTGAAAAATGAGTCAATATCACTTTTCAGCATTTTCCATAAATGGAACAT